TGCTTTACAGACAGCTTTAGGGTAAAGGCCATAGAGATAATGAGTGACAGTGTAATAATGGAGCAAAGTTTAACATCACACTGCAGCTTCAAATATAAAGCTTTACCCCTCAAGCACAGCGCTAGCATCTGCTGGCTGCTGTGCTAACTGTGGATTGGCAATTAAACATCAAAGAAACCCTTCCACTTTTAGCCTCGTTTTGGTGTACTCACTTTCAAAGTACAATATTGAACCGATACATCAGTGTGCACAGTACCAGTAATGTAAGGCAGCTTGAAACAGAATTATTTAATCAAATTTGAAACCACAAATAAACACAGAGCCACAATATCCCATAAATGTTGCAATGGCCGTTTGATGTGTGGCGTATAAAAGTGCAGCCACCTCAAACTGATGTTCTTTCTACTATAACACCAAAAATGTGTAGCCTACAGTTCTAGTTTGGTATGGAGACAGCTGTTCCTAATAACTAATTTCCATAAAGAAGAGACACAAGTAGGGAAGGAAGGAAGTACAAAAAAAGTCAAGTAATTATATTCAGACAAAAGTATCCAACTAAACGATTTTGAGGGAAGTAAGAGTGCTATTAGTCTACACAGTAACCACAGACTGAATATTTTAATCTTTGTCCTAGTCCTGTTCATTGTTTTTCACATGAAACTCCTACAATGCCTTTCCTAGACATGAATATAATTTTTATTCTGTGTTTTCTGTGCATCACTCAACAATTGCTTTCTAGAGACAAGATTTACTCCATAGAGAAAAACACTCACTCAAGCCCTCCCAGTTCATTGACATTCAGCTGCGAACTCTAATCTCATTTGAAATCAGGTTGCCCCGGGCTGAGTTTGTAACTTTTGAAGCCTTATCAAAGAAATACAGAATAGAGACCAATGCGGGAAGTGTCCTGGTTTTAATTGCATATCGAGCGAGGGAGAAAAACCCGCTGGTTTCAATTAAGCTGTAATATTTCAAAGTCAATATTCGTCATAAAGAAAAACTAGAGTCTAGCTCTGAGATCGAACACTCTGTTAGCTGTAGGGATATTTATGTAATGAAATGTACAACAGAGAGCAATTTTACTGTCAAGGTTTTACCCCATCATGGAAATTGGGACATATGTCTTCCCTGTGCTCCTGTGCATTTGACAAACATTATTTATAGGCAATGGCTCGGCTGTCACCTCCATCACACATAGATTTACAGTGGGAGAGTGTGTGGGTGGGGGCAGGCAGTGCTCGCAATTTTGCCTCAAGGTGAAGTCAGTGTGAAATGTTATTGCCTGATAGCAGAGTTGTGGTAAAACTTTAGTAAAAGTATAGCAGTAGTAGGAATAAATAGTACCACAGCTATTTTGCATAGTGTTACTGTGACTACTGATATTATACATAAGGTGTTATGTATAAGATTAATAAGACGCTTATTACTGAACTGAGTCCACGTTGACTATACCAATATACATTTTCCGCTGTTTATTGATACTGCAGAAGGGCTGCAGTTCTACACTGGTCTGAGCCACTGTGCGAGCAAATGCATACTCCTTTACAACATTCAAATTTCAATCTGTTTTTCACTTTGTGTATCGGACACCTCTGACATGCATGACTGGTGACTCTTGTCCTACAATAATATAGCTATGCTATAGGTTAACCTTCTACCTGAGCCTGATAATGATAAACCTATCACACTGTATTGTATTCAATAAAAATGTAGATGGCTTGCTGTTGGATTAAATAATGATTTGTCTATTATTGTGGTAACACAGCATGCGGTGGTACTCAGAGGTCAAGTAAAAAAATATACAGCCAAGGGGTCCATTGTCTGGTGCAGAGGTGAAGGGGAGGGGTGTTAGCTGCCTGTCTGTTCACAGTCAGGAAATATGACCTGAGGGCCTCAGCCAACTCCCATGGGATCACGAGTGACAGGAGAGCGCCACCTACAGATAAATCTCCTCCTTTATGGCTCTTTCTAATGCTCCTCACCCCGTGGTGCACACCAGAGCAGTGTCCTGGCAAATAGATAAACATAAATCACATATGTTTATTGTCTGTCTCAGTCTGTTCCTTATTTCATCTAATTTAGAAGCTGAGGGGGTATTAGAGGTGCTTGCCTTGTCTTTGTTCTGTCTTGGATATTTTATACCTGATAATGAAAGGATTCAGTGGGTTATTTTGCTTCTTCAAAGCCATGGCTTAAAAACACAAAACAAATGCCAAGCAAGAAAGCACATCAAGGCACAGTGGCGATTTCTTTGCTACAGAATAATGTAAATAATATGTTTAATAAATACTGACATAGGACAATGGTAAAATGTATAAATAAGTCACCTGTTGCTATCCAAAAAGGTTTTGATTGAAGAACAAAGCCAGTGGCTTTTTTGTCACCATCTTTTCGTTAGGCTATATTATTAGGCCGTTTAAAGTCAAATGCATGTAACGACCTAGTGGTATCTTGTTCCTTAGTTAAAGTTAATGATATGCTGATTAAATCAAGCAACATCTGTCTAAAAAAATGCTGGTTTGTTTTTAGCATATCATTACATCTCATTATTCAGTTTTAGCCGGCCCCCCTTTGATAACGCCTTTGAGGCGCCTCGTAAATCTGGTTTATTCCATTTCTCAACTTCACATTTCTGACGTAAAGTTGACTTTTTAAATAAAACATGTATGGATTTTGCAACTACAACAATAAACATAAAGTAATCATGGAACTAGATTCATTTTTAAATGAAGTTTTGCGTTTATTTATTTAAACTCGAATGATTGTCTCGTGTGTTTGGGGTGTTTTTGAAGCCCTCTGACTCCGCCTCTCGCAGCTCGACTCCCGCAGCCCGTCTCCGCTCCGGCTCCGTCTCACTCACACTAGCATGGCGCTCAGGCAACTTACCCCTGTCCGCCTCTCTTTTCTTTACATGTTCGACTATGATCTGAGCAAATATTAAACTTCCTTTGGACACTACCTAATCTTTTACTTCAGGAATACATTTGGAAAGTCATCGGGAGTGTTGTTTTATTATTTAAGGACGTGGCAAAACGAACCAAGGCAGCGCTGCTAACTTGTAAGGTTAGCAAGAATAGGGAGATACGGGGCGGTAGGAGAGGAGGAGTCCTGTTTTGGGAAAGGGGTAAGTTTAGCAGCTTTTGTGTCACATTGATTTATTGTTTTACATTTGTTGTACATATTGACTTGTATCCTATAACTCTAGTGGCATGCGATCAAAGTGTAAATATGAGTTCACGACCCCAATTATTGTATCATTGTTGCTTAAACATTGCAGAGATAAAGTAGCTCCGTTAGCCCCTTGGTGCTAGCAAAGTTTGTTTAAGTGTTTCTTTTACATATTTATTTAGAAATCTGCCAATCACCATCTGAAAACCCTCACGCGTTGAGTTTTGGGGGGATAACAAGGCGAATAAGTGATTGTACACGTTTCCCCGTGCTAGTATACTGTATGTTACGTAATGTTGACATTTTCCCGGAGTAATGTTACGCTATGTAGAACAAGTCTGGAAAATAAAGTTAGTGGGTGTTGTGGAGAATGACCTTTTCTTTCGCAGGGACGTCATTAATGCAATCTATTTTAAGATGAAAAGAAATGTACAGTTCAAAAACCGTATTGTACTAAATCACTGTTTTTGACTTGTCAGCAGCAGCGGAGTACTCGTCTTAAGCACCAGGATTGCAGCTTACAGGTGTAATTACCCACAGGGAGCTAATTAGATTAACTTTACCTTCAATGTATACACACTCTAGTCTGTGACACAGGGGAAGCATACATTTGTTTATGTTGAAGTGTTCTCTTGTAATGTAAATTTATGCATTGTATCCATACAATAACAGCCATATGCAGCAGAGTGTATGAATGACCCAATTCCAGCTGATTAATCTGCATGTTTTCATTGTTCTCTTCAGCCAATGCAGAGGTCATGGCCATAACCGCGGCATGGGAGTGACGTGATGGCCCTGTGGCTGCCTCCAAACAAAACCTGTTACCAGCGTCCTGCCCTCCTGCTCAGCTAGAGGCAGAACTTGGAGGATGGACGAGTCGGTTTTGTTGGATCTTCTTGAGTGCCCTGTTTGCCTGGAGCGCCTAGATGCCACGGCAAAGGTCCTGCCCTGTCAGCACACCTTCTGCCGTCGCTGTTTGCAAGGCATTGTGGGATCACGGGGCGAGCTGCGGTGCCCAGAGTGCAGGACTTTAGTGGAGTGTGCCGTGGATGAGCTCCCAAGTAACATCCTACTGGTCAGACTTCTGGACGGCATTAAGCAGAGGCCGCGGAGAGCTGGGCCGGGGGCAGGAGCCTGTACAAATGGGACGTCCGGGGCGGTTGCCAGGGCGCACAGCAGTGGCAGCCGAGAGCAGGGCACCCCAGGGGCTCAGCCGCAGCGAACCCAGGCCAAGAGCTCCGTCGTCAGGGTTAGTACCATTTCTCTCTGAGCCTCCATGGTTGACCGAGGTTTAATCTGTGTTTCCTATTGTTAAGGTCAAAATTAAACAATACTGGGAAAATCTCTCTGGATTAAAAGCAGCATGTAGCGCTACTGCTGCTCTAATCTTCACAGCAGATTAACTGTTATCGCTGTGATCTAAACGTCTGCCAGTTGAGTAATGGTCCACACTATCCAGGTTATAGTACTTTGCAGTCTTTTAGAAGTTGTTTTGATGATAAAACGTCTCACATTTTTGACCTGGCTTTAGTGCAGGCTATTAGAGTATATTCATTCACATTAGAGGTGGCGCCTCTGGAATTGCAAGTGACCAACAGACTGTATTTATATTTATCTGCAAAAGGTGCCAATAAGTTTTAAACTTCACTGAAAATGATAACAGCAATATAGATATAAGATTAAATGGCACAAGTCTCATTTTGTTCCCAAAAATGTGCAACAGTGCTTGTTTTAATTCTTGTACCTTAAGGGTTGGAGGTTTATCTTAGAGCGGTTGTGTTTGTTTTTCTTGAAAATTACACCTTGAGTCACGAAAGAGTCATAAAAGAAGAAAAATACCTTTGCTGATTTTTATGTTGCTTATTGTTCTTAATAAAAATGTGCAGTTCTTAGGCTTACACAAAATTGACTCTTGTGAACTTTAAGCCATGTTAGAATGCTGTTGCCTCTTCAAAAACACACCCAGAGTTGTGCTTTGTTTCATTCACACATGTTTGAGCAACCCTTTATTACTACTCTGTCTGTATCGCCAAACCTCAAAATGCTCAGTTCTTCTTTATGTTGTTTTGCAGTGGTAGTTTTCAAGTTAACACTTTTTACCTTTTATTTCAGTAGAGATTGGCAATTCCAGAGATGAAAATATCCAAATATATGATTCTAGTGAAGGTGTATGGACTGGAGTTTAAAAGCCCAGTTAAGCACTTCCTGTATTACTACGTGACATCACAAGGTGGACCAGAGTGTTTTCAGTTTGAGAGAAGAACTAAATATGCAAGGTTTGTGTGTTAAACATGTGTGAATCAAACAAAACGGGTATCCAGGTATGTTTGTGATGAGGAATTCAAACTGTGAGTTCAAATCCAGCACTACATCTGCACATTACCAGCCGTCATTATAGTGTCTGTGACTTGAGGCTGTTGACAGTGGAACAGTTCATTGTGTTTCCTCTCCTCTGTTGTTCCCTCTCTCTCTCGATTTCTCTCTTCTCTGCAGGAGTCCCCTCAGGTCTCACTGCTCTTAACTTTATAGAACTGCAGACTTGCACTTGAGCTCGCTGCAGCGATGTAGCTTCTGCCTGTGTGGACTATTGTGACAAACGCAGGGTGGGTGTGCTGAGCCGAGTGGAGCTGCTTGTTTTAAAGTGGAATCAATTCAGTAGAGAAATGCAGCATGCGTCGCAGATTCAGTGTTTAAAGGCAGATGAAAGGGATGTGTTTTTTTAATGATGCCAGGCAGGAAACAGCACCTTAAATGACCCCCGTAAGCTTAAGGGAGTGCGGCTGTAAGGGAATGACAGTGTTTTTGTGGAAAAACAAGGTGTGGAAGGAGACACATGCCACTTCAAACCAACTGTTAGTGTTATAGTGGAACACGCTGTACCTCTGGACCCAAAAAAAGAGCAAATTGGTTAAATATTTATACTTTTCTCCATTGGTGTTTGAAGTTTGAAGACCAGTGAGTATGCACAGTAAAGAAGAAGGGCTAGGTGCTGTCACTATTGGTTGCTCTGTTTTTGCATTGTCAGGTAATTTAACTTATTTGAGGCTAATTATACCATTGCAGTGTGTTTTTCTAGCAGTGTCTATCTTTTCAAGCCAGTCTGTTGAATTCCTTCCCACACCTTACTCTGTTTTTTTAGCATAGCTCTCAGGAAAACTGTGAGTAGGTGAAGTTATAAAGCAATGTGAGAAGCTGTTGGAGGAGAGCATTAAATACATAGGAATAATACAGGAATTTTCATGGATTGTCCTACATAAAATGATTTCTGAATGTCCTCATGTCTATATGTTGTCATGGGAAAAGTGAAAATTCTAAATCATGGAATTTAGATGTATATAAAGTTCTACAATCTGAAACACGGGCCATTTGTGAGCTTTTCATCACATTACTTTTACACTTATCAAAAACATATGTGGTGGCAGTTTGTTTCATTTGCAAAGATTTGAGTAACCTGGTTCTTCAGAGCTCAAAATTTTCCAAATACTGCCTGATATGACTTTCACCTTATTGCACCTTTTAAAAAGTTAACAGTGATCTCTTATGTTTCCACAGTTGTACATCTTCTCAGAATTTATGAATGTACTCCTGTCATAGTAGTTTTTATTTAACATGACATGCGCTCTAAAAATGTGACGTTAGCTCAGAAAAATGTGTGCGGGCAGTGGACCTGGCCTCTCGGCTGTGTGTGTGAGGAGGTAGATGAAAAGATGTCTGACCCTGTGTAGGATCACTGGTATGTTGGAGCTCTGATAGTGTAGCCGCTGCTCAGGTATGGACATCAAAACATGCAGCAAACCCATACTGTGGGACTATTCAACAATATTTTTCTCATCTACTGGTATTAAAAGCATCAATACCTTTTTTTCTCCATTTGCTCATCATTGTAAAAGCAGACCTATTATGCAAAAAAAAGTAACCATATTATAGTTGCTGTATAGTAGTTGTTGTCCTCTCACCATGTTATTTTCAAGACCATCTTCTTAAAAAACAGATGGTAGCTTTAAGTTCTAGGTCCAGTTTAGTACTACCTTGGTCATGTCTTGTTTTCTGGGTAAGTTTAGTCATTTTCTGCCATGGTATCCTGTGGTAGACATAGATAATCACTGGCTGTGGCTGTAAAGACTTTTCAATGCTTGTTTTATGCGTTGGGGTTTCCCTTCGATGTGAAAAGCCTTGTTTGTTACTAATATAGAGCTGGATATATAAAGCAATTTGATGTTTCTCTGCAAGAACAAAGCGCCCATTGCTCAGGCTAAGTGACAGTTGGAAGCAGGGCAAATTCACATTACTGCAAGTCTGATGATATCTCTGGTTTATAAGTACATGTCTTTCGATTTCTATTAAGAAGTGGTAATTGAAATTTTCCTTTATCACAGGAACACAATTGCATAGGACGTTTCACTGACCACAATTTCTTCAGACTCAGAGAATCTCCTTTAGGTTTGCTTTCAAAGTGTAATCATGCTAGAAAAGGTGTTTTAGCCTTGTTCATATCAGATTATAATGGGGTAGAGTAGCCTTTTTTGACACAGGAAAATATATGAATGATAAATAAGGATATGAACATGGTTGCTGAATTAAACAGCATAGTCAAAATATGCTTGATAGCAATAACAACCACATTATCTTGCATCTGATGGATTCATTTTCATTTTGAGCATATCCAATTATAGGTCTTAATCAGACTAATGGCCATTGTTCCCTTAAGCTCTGCATGTTCGTTAACCCATAGTGACCGCTGACAAGGACACGGCCCATTCCTCTATCTGTGAGTGACAGAACTGCTGACTACAAGCACAACCAATCCACTGTTGTTATCAATGACGACCAACAAGAGAAGACAGTTGTGCCGGTGTAGCATTTTCTCAACATAAAACCTGGATATCAAAGCTCCTGCTGACTGCTCCTCCTAATCTTTACTCACCACAAGACGCTTGGCTGCCTTCTGGTGACTCCCTTAGACCAACTTGTAACCCCCCTGTCTGCTGCTTTGGGGGTACATCTTTGCTTAAAGCTGCTCCTTTGGTCCATAGCTCAAGTGCAGCCAGAGCTCCACCTCCGATTCTTCTTTGGGAGAGAATGAGCACCCAGGCCTAGCAGAGCAGCCTGACAGGAGCACAACAGGGGTTTTGTTTGGGACCCCTCTGATCTCTTTCACTGATCCACATGTGTGAAGAAGCCAGGACTGAACATGTATGAGAGCTGAATTTGTAAAAAAAAAAAAATCTAATCTTACAATGCATTTGATTACTTATAGTCTTTGTGTCTTGCTTTGGATTTTTTGGTAATTTTTTGGCGAACACTTAACATGCTCTCTTGATGTTTAGTAATTCTATTCTCTATAGTAAAACATTGCAATCTGTAGTTGTGCCCTATGTTTGAACTCTCCTGTTTTTTTATACCTCATTGGATGAGTGTATGATCATTGGTTGAAAAGCTGTAGATGAACAGTATTCATTTTGAATCGGGTAAAAATGGAGCACAGTTGTATATTGTGTAATCTATTGTATGCAACTATGGCAATGGCCTGTTAATAAAAAATTAATCGCAATATTAAATAACTTTGTGCAGTCAATGATGATTCCCTCTGCTTTTTTTTAGATTGATCTTGTTACAAAGTACTCATAGGCTGCCATCTTCCATCCTTAAGGTAAAAGGAAACCTTGCTTCCTAGCATCCTCCTTTTCTCCTCAATGGTGGTGGTAGTTGCTCAACACTTTTGGCATTTCTTATGATGTGGAGAAGCGAAAAAGTTTTGCCTTGAGTTTTAAACTGCGGTCGTCTGTCTTATACACAGCCTGGTCCATGAGTCATCTGTCTGCTGCTTTCTTTCCGGGATGTTTTGTCTTCCTTGTGCCCTTGTTGGCTCGTGTAACACACTATTTTGTTCACTCGGATTGAAAACAGAGTGTAGCGGCAGATTTTCCAGCATGAGAGCAAGCAAAGTCAGTTTGGGAGCAGCCTATAGGTCAAAGTTGAAAGTTCATGAGTCAGGTCAGTCATAGGTCGGACCCAATGAGAGTAAAAGAGTTGAGAAGATTACTGTGGAAGGGTTTAGTTTGGTAAAAGTTCAGGAAAGGTCACTAATAGACTAAGTACAAGATATTTGTTGACTGATGTAGCACTGATTCATTTTGGTCTGTGGTCAACAACAGTATAAATCCAATAGCGTTTTGAGGAATTCTGTACCAGTATGAGATTTAGAGCTGAATGCCATCACCCAGAATTCTTAGTTAGAATTCTTAAATC